ATTTAGTTTAGACTTATTTAATTCCTCAGCAGTCTCCATTTAAGGACCCATCTTTCATATTGCAGGTATCAGCACCAGCATGGTAGGCGACAGTCTTCTTCCTTGTCTTCAAATCCAGGACAGTCCACACCTGGGAGTAGTGTGTCAGTTCCTACCCAGGGCCTGGGAGCAGACAGTAGCTTTGTTCTTCAGGAGTTTAAAATGCAAAATGTAAATACGTAAAAAAAGCAAAACAAAGCAAGCCACAAACCCAGCACTTGATTTTGTATGTAGCCGACAGTTCAGATAACTATAACAGAAAAACAACATCTACTGAATACATGCTGTGTGTCAGACACTGCTCATCGAATCCTCCCCATAGCACTGTAATAATAGGTATTGCTATTATTATTATCCCTTTTTTGCAGATGAGGAAAGGTTAAATACTTTGCCTAAGGCCTGAGGTGAGTGGTAGAACCAAACTTCGCACTCAGCCTGCCTCCAGATCCCTCTCATGTAATCACTGAGCTATAGTGTTCCCCTTGCATTTGGCAGTGAGCGTGCATTGATACATTTCTAACCTGACTTCAGTTTCTCAGAAGTCCTGGAGTATGTAGAAATACTAACGACCTCACTTTAGTAGTTCTCAAATTCTTAAAAGATAAAAAGAGCCAATCAAAAGGTCAGGAAATATAACCAAACCAAATACAAGTAATCACAGGGAAAATATATCAGACATTGCGGTTGTGCACCTCTGACTCATACAGTTCAAGCCACATACATGTCCTTCACAGTGCTAGAGGAGTCCTCATAATTGGGTCCCAAAAGACCCAGACAGAGCTGACATCCTGGGGCCCCTGCAGCCTTCCTTGCTGATTGCTGAGATCCTGGCTGCAAGCCCACCTCCTCATTACCTCTTCTGTTCCTCACACCAGCACAAGTAATTCTCAGTGGCCCTTGGCAAAATCCCATGACTGTTTCCAAGAGGAAACGGAAGCAGAAAATAAGAGAACAGCAGGAAGTTTCATTCTATCCCGAGTACAAATATTCTAATCTTTGTATGGATTGAATGTATTTGCATCTTCAATTTTAAATTCTGTAGTGCCAGGATACTCTGTTTTGGAGCGTTAGACAAACTGTATAGTTATGCTATAAAAGTATAAAATTACACAGAGAAAAACAATTTAGGATAATTTTCCAAAATTACCTTGTTAGTAAAGAAATGTCCAAAGCTGAGGAAGGTGTCAAATTAGATTATACTAATAGAAACTAGTTAGTGGTCTGAATTTCTTTTCTTAAATCCTCCAATCTTTCTGTGTTATTTCTACCACTTCTTTTTATTGCTGATGACAAAAGGAATACTAATCTAAAAATTAGTCCACAATTTTCAGTGAGACAACAATACTGCAATATATATATTTATATATATATATATATATTTTTTTTTTTTTTTTTTTTTGCATAAGGGAAAGTTTATTAGTGTGGGGATATTCTCCCATGAATATACATGGCATAAAGTATAAGATGACTGTAAGGTGACTAAAATTTACTGGGCACATACTGGGCACATATATGCCAAACATATAGGAGAGTATTCCAGACTTTCAGGGTAGAGTTTCCCAGGTGCCACTATAACTCAGCCTTCAGTAGCCCACTCCAACTTTCGGTTGAGCCAGTTGCTTCTAGGTGATGGGTAAATGGTTACACCAGTGAAATCTATGGTGGTGAGCAATTTGCTTTACCTCATTTACTATAAATTGTGCCTCCTGGTTAAAGATGGTGCTGAATGGATGCCATGGCAATCGATAATGGATCCTGCTCCATGAATAGTAAAGCAGGCTGAAGCACTGCAGGCAGAAGAGACAAACATATGCCTAGAATATATGATGACAAGATGCTGTCTCCTCCGGGTTGAGGAGTTTCAATGAAGCAAGCTGCCACAGGTTGTTGGCAGGTTTCCCTAGCAAAGTGTGCCCTGGGAGGGAGTTAATGATGGACTTACTGATGGCATTTTTGGACATTCAGCAGTGACAGTAGCCAGATCAGGATTGGTGAAATGTAGATCGTGTTGGTCACCTCACACTGCAGTTCTATTTATTTTTATTTTTTTAATATTTATTGATTATTTTGGCTGCACCGGGCCTTAGTTGCGGCACGTGGGATCTTTGTTGCGGCATGCGGACTTCTTAGTTGCGGCATGTATGTGGGATCTAATTCCCTGACCAGGGATGGAACCCAGGCCCCCTGCACTGAGAGCACGGAGTCTTACCCACTGGACCACCAGGAAAGTCCCCACACTGCAGTTTTAATTTAACTCTACCCCTAAGGGTTTTCTACAACCTTAATCTCTTTGACCTTCTAGTATACTTGTAGAATAATCAGTCATAGAAGATTAGAGAGATGATATCCCCCAAAACCTCTCTGCTCCAGAGACGATCTCTCCATTATTCCCCAGTCTTTTTTTCAATGTAGAAATTCCTAGGAGGAAATAAACCTTCAATTAATTATTTTCTTAGATGTGTCTTCAATGTTAGGTGATTCAGCTTTGCTTTTTTTCTGCTGGTATTTATCCTCTCTTATCTGGGATTGAAAGATTTATTACAAGTCCCTCTTCCAGAAGTGTTTGGGCATTTCATTCTATATACCTGAAAGTCAGGCATATGAAACAAGCACTTGGTGAAGTGTGAAAGGTAAAATTAATGCTTTAAAATAAAATCCAAATCATAAAACAGTATTGGGTAATTTAGTGAGCAGTAGTACGTATATCCCGTCTTGGAGGTAGAGAAATAGAAAAAGGCCAAAATATTGATTTGTTTAGGAACCAAATTAGTTCCCAATTAATCATATATAAGAGAAAGAATTAAAAAATAAACCTTTGAGGCATATTCAAACATTAAATGGACCCACATGAAAAGTCTCTCCAAGTTTCCCAGTAAGAACTCATTTTCTCTATTTAATAATATAAAAGAGGGATTTATGTCCCCAAACTTATGAACGCTCTGAAAAGCCTGGGATACTCACTTAAAACATGATAGGGCTTCCTTGGTGGCTCAGTGGTTGAGAGTTCGCCTGCCGATGCAGGGCACGCGGGTTCGTGCCCCGGTCCGGGAAGATCCCACATGCTGCGGAGCGGCTGGGCCCGTGAGCCATGGCCGCTGAGCCTGCACGTCTGGAGCCTATGCTCTGCAACGGGAGAGGCCACAACAGGGAGAGGCCCGCGTACCGCAAAACAAAACAAAGCAAAACAAAAAACCAAAAGAACATGATAATTCCAGAGCAGTCTCTTCCTGAAGGGACAACATTCTTTACCTCCAAAGTGAAGGGAAAGAAAGAGGATAGGTACACAAGTTTAAGACTTGGCAGTTTAAAATGCGAAGGAATCGAACCCAAGGTTTCCCAACATCAATTAATATCCCTGAGTTTTCTTTTTCATTTATTTTTCTTTTTCTAAACTCCTAGCTTGTCCCTGCCCTTATGTTATTCACCTTTTCCCCTCTGTTGGTTGAAGTTACACATTTTGCAATTTGAATGACGGGATGAAATCTTCAACGGGTTCGAAAGAAACATTAGCAATTTCTTTCTCATCCTTTGTCTCTCAAGACTAAACTTTTGAGTCTGTTTTCCCATCCTGTTGGTGGCAACTCTGCATCTGGGCTGGCTTCTGTCAGCTTTCTCAGCAGACCTGCTTCGGTTTCCCACCTGCTTTCCCTAAGGTCGCTGCTGTTTCAGTGAGGTTGGGGTGTCATGGTTTGTGCTATGAGTTCGGGATATAGTGCTCCTTCTACCTGAACTCCTCTTCCTGTCCTCGCCTCCACCTTCTCGTTCTCAGCTCTGACTCATTCAAACAGGAGACTAGGTTCTCCCATTTTCATTTTCCCCAGAAGTTGCTGAGACCCCACTGCTGCCAGTGAGTGAAATTGTGATATTGCTCCGCCATCTCTCTCCTCAGCTGTGGGCTGGATATCCCTGCCCTCTCCCTACCCACACCCAGAGCCATGCCTCTGGAGGCCTGGATACCTGTCTCACTGAGGTCTGTAAGGCTGTCTCTCTTTTGGGCTCAGAGCCCTTGTGACTTAGGGTTGCCTTTTGATAGAATGATGAAGAAACTGATGTGGGCTGAAAGTAGTGCCTAAAGGGTCCCTCCAGTCAGTGATCAAGCCACTTCAAAGGCTGCCTTTGGATGGTACAGCACAGCCTTCCTGCCCCAGCTTCGGTTCAGCCTGATGCATTTCAGCCCAATCCTGGCAACTACACTGAGTTGTTTCTCCTATCAAGAGGTGCTCTCAGTAGCCATGGCTCCCTGAGGACCTGGGGTAAAGTACAGGGGACAGAGGTCAAACAGATTGATTCACAGAATCTTAAGAGACTTTTTTGATCCCCTAAAATCTGCTGGCGTGTCTCAAACTCAGCTCCAATGAGTAGATTTTGGTCAAGTTTACATAGGTCAAAACCTTTTTCTTTCCCATTGTAGCTTTGTAATTTTTCTTAACCCTGCTTTCATTACCATAATAACCCATTCTTCCTGACACGGAGCAGGGGCGATATTGGGAGATGGGAGAAGTGAGCACGCCACTGTGATGGTTGTTCTCGGTCAGAGCTGTTTGTCTTCAGAGACCTTGCCCAGTCTCTTTTCTTTGGGTGGGCTCGTAAGGCACATGATTTAGAAGGAAGCGTGTTCCTGCATCTCTGCACCAGATATTCTTGAAACCATCCATGGCCTTAGTGTTTAGCATCAATAAGTACTCAAATTACCTAAATTCTACACAGAAGTTCAAAGAAGGGTGACAGCAGATGTTCCAAGACAGAATAAACTTGAACTCAGGTTATCCCTGGGTCACTGTTTTCACAGTAAGGGAATGCAGACTGCCAGAGGTCCTGATAGCGTTATCCAGCGGGGCACAGGGCTTGTGACCACAGACCCAAGGGCTGATGGCAGAGCTTGTTTCCTTAATTGGGGTGCCCAGTATAGCTTGTTCCAGTTCCACTGTGTCCCCTGCACCCCGCCTTTAAGCTCCTCAATACCCTATTCTTTACTGTGTTCCCCACAGTGTAGGGTAGGTGAGCACTGCCCCTTTCCTGTGTTCTTCCCGTGGTGTAAAGTGCCATGCTCTTTTCCATGGCTTTAGGGACTGCCTTTATTCTTACTGTCCCTCCCAACTTCCCCCATGGCACTGGGTGGGAGAGGATGCAGAGGACCAATTAGTGCAAGGTCTGAAGGTGAAGCATGACTCAGAGTCTGAGCTAACAGAGGGCTTGGGGTCTGGATTGGCCAAGAGGCCAGATTCCAGCCTCAGAGCTTGGGCCAGGGTTACAGGTGGGACCCACACGAGCACAAGGGGGTACAGGCAAGGATTGGCCTCAGCTTGAGAGACCTGGATCCCTTGGCTTGGTGCTCTCACAGCACATTCCAGAAGCAGGAAGATTAGGAAGGTGAGGATGAGGCTCAGGGCTGCCAGATACATACAGCCTAAGACACAGACCGGGCCTCCCTACCACATTCTTGTCAGGGGCGGGGAGTTGGGCATTTCCCAGTTCTGCTCAGTCTGTGCCCTCTGACCTCCGCTTTTCTGACAGCAGCATGCCACCCCTATGGCCTCTTTCTCCGGTTTTGTAGACCTGGACCTTTGCTGCAAGTTCTCTCAATGCCTGTCCTCTCTTCCTCCAGTTCTACCATGCCTGTGACCAGCCAGGCATTGTGGTTTTCTGCATCATGGACTACGACGTGCTGCAGTTCTGTGACTTCCTGGGCTCTTTAATGTCCGTGTGGGTCACTGTCATTGCCATGGCTCGCTTACAGCCTGTGGTCAAACAGGTCAGTCCAGAGTGGGCCCTGGGGGACAACCATAGCCACAGTCTACTTGAAATCCACTTCCCGATCTCTCCTGGGGGCATTGTCAAGTGCCTCTCGCCATCCCGGCCCAGCCCCTGGAGACCTCTTTCTCTAGGTGCTGTACTTGCTGGGGGCTATGCTGCTGTCCATGGCTCTGCAGCTTGACCGGCATGGACTCTGGAACCTGCTTGGACCCAGTCTCTTTGCCCTGGGGATCTTGGCCACAGCCTGGGTAAGGTTGGGAGGGCTGGGGGCGGGGAGGTCCCAGCAGGACTTGGGTGCAGGGACTTGGGTATCTGGTTCCCGGTTTAAGGTGGGCTTGGACCCTGTCGTCATCACTGTGCTGCTCACAGCGCTGCACTCCAGTCTTGGCAGATGCCTTCAGGTCACCACCAGGGCTCAGGGAAAGCCAGAGAGTGCCCAGCAGTGGCTTGGGTTCCAAGGCCTCGCGTTCCTAAGCCCCACTTGTCTGCCTCCCCCAGACAGTACGCAGCGTCCGCCGCCGGCACTGCTACCCGCCCACGTGGCGCCGCTGGCTTTTCTGCCTGTGCCCAGGCAGCCTGATCGCGGGCAGTGCCATCCTGCTCTACGCCTTCGTGGAGACCCGAGACAACTACTTCTACACTCACAGCATTTGGCATATGCTCATCGCGGGCAGTGTGGGCTTCTTGCTGCCCCCTCGTGCCAAGACTGACCGCCAGGTCCCATCTGGAGCCCGGGCCCGGGGCTGCGGCTACCAGCTGTGCATCAATGAGCAGGAGGAGCTGGGCCTTGTGGGCCCGGGAGGGGCCACTGTCAGCAGCATCTGTGCCAGCTGAGAGGGGCTCTGGGCTGCCCTTGGGGAACGTGAACTCTTCCCCGGGGCAGAGAGCCCTTCCTTGGGTTCTTTCTGGGAGCATGGAGTCCTCCCAGGGATGAGAGACAAGTTGTATTTCTTGAGGACATGGAGTCTTTCTTAAGGACACGGAACTCTTTCAGGGGCCTGGCACACTTCCCGAGGGCCTGGAGTCCTCCTGCATCTTCAGGACTGGAGCCCGTGCAGGGCCACAGAGCCCCCTCAGGACCAAGGAGTCCCTCCCAGGGCTGTGGAGCCCTTCCCAGGGTATGGAACCCTCCTGAGGACATGGATTCCTTCCCTGGGAGACCAGGCCCTCTCAGGACATGGCGTCGTTCCTAAGGAAACGGAGTCCATCCTGGGGAAGCTGAGTCTCCAGATCTTCCCAGCAGCTCAGCAACTCTGGGCTCAGACATCCTTCCCAGAGGCAGCATCTGGGCTGTGCTGTGCTGGGAGGGGGTTGCAGGACAGACGGGGCTGGGACTGGGGCTGCGGTGGCTGGTATCCTGAGTTGATGCAGGTGGAGTCTGGTGTGTCTCCAATGAAGTATTTACTGGTTCTGTGCTGCCTTTTTTTTTCCTGAGGGAAAGGGTGTGGGGAGGGGAGGCAAAGAGGGACCCTGAGACAATCAACAGGGGTGACGGAGCCCAGCTGGCATGAGCTGCTGGAGCTACTGTCTGAGGCTTTTGCCCCATTGTGTCAGGCTGCAGCAGCCGGGAGTAGGGAGTTGTGTGAGTGTGTGTGTGTGTACTTGCTGAGATGATTTCAATCAGTGAGACCTCCCTTGTGGTGCCCACACCCAATAGGGAAGGAGGCTAAGGGCTCAGGAAATTGGACTAGTGGGTACAAATCTCAGATGTGCAAGAAATATCACAAGAATGTAACTTCTGTTTTGAGTCTCCATTTTGCCCGAGTGCCAGAAACATAATCTTTTGTCATTTGGGGATTTCTTCTCTTTCCACAAAGGTCACAGCTGAGTCCCGAGGGTCTTTATATAATGCCGAGATATTGTGAGGGTGTTCTCCCTGGTCACCGGGGTCCATGTGGCACCCCTGAGATTTCCATCATCCCGCCTGGTCCCCAGTCAATGGTACAAGCAGGCCTTCCCAGAGTGGTTTCTTGTCCCCATCTGTGTGACCCTTTCAGTCCTGAGGCTCTCCACCACTTCTGTGCCACATGCAAAGACTTGTGAGACCTTGGCTACCCAGAAACACCTTGAAGCCATTTCTACCCTGGGGTCCTGCTCTGCATTTTACTTGACCAACAATGCATGAGTTGCTCCAGCTTTCACACCCTGCAAACCTGTCCAGGGGTTTGGTCTGAGGAGTGGGGCTCAGGGCCCCACCCTTTTGGGGCCGTCCTATGCCAGTGCTCTCACTACATCCCCTCCTCCTCGCTTTTTCCTCTCCTTAGCTTAGGGAATCTTATTAATCTGGAGGTGGGGACACCTACGTTTTCCTTACATTTTCCTCCCAAATCTTTTGTTTATGCCTTAAGTCTTTTATGTTCCATTTAGAGCCTAGGCTTTTGAAACTCAGATGCCAGGAAAACATCTCTTTGTTCTCTGCTTTCTGCAATCACATCTCTTCCTTCAGGCCCTGAGCGGAGTGTGATGTGAGAAGGTCACATCTCACATCACATTCACCAATTGAATGGTGAGAAGGAAGGAGAGGTGTGGGCTAGGTGTCTGTTCCTGTATCAGAAATATTATTCCACACAGATCACTAGGACACATGAGCCCAAATAGCTGGGATTCAGGACACAGCAGAGTACAGAAGGCACTGAAGAGGGAGACAGAGCTGAGACAGACCCCACCCAGCTAGGAGGGATCAGAAGGGGTTTTCTGGAAGCCGGATGGAGTGGAGGGCATTGAGTGAGGATTGAATGAGTTTCCATAATGCCAAGATGTCGGGAGAGTGTTCTCTCTGGTCACCAGTGTCCATATCACATTCCTCCCCTGAGATTTCCATCATCCCATCTGGTCCCCAAGCAGGAAAGCACTTAGAACACTTAGTATAGTGCCTAGCCTGGTATGTGGTAAGTCTCCACTGTATGTTAGCTAAAGGTCAGGTGTTTGGACATGGGAGGCAACAGCAAGGGGGAGACACAGGAGCAGGAAAGACTGATCTTTACTGGGGAACTGGGACTAGTTCAGGGCGTCTGGACCTGCAGGGTGTGTGTGTGTGGAGTTAGGGCGGAGGCAAGCAGCCAGTGATGAGGCTGGGCAGGTATGTGGGGTCTGGCTTTTATCCTAGGGAAATGAGCAATGGCCTCATTGAAGGGATTTAAGCAGGAGAGTAGCAGATCAGATTGTTTTGTTTGCGTTATTTTGTCTTTTCAGATAGGTGTTTTGATGTCAGGTGCAGAGGATGGATTTTGGAGAGGATTTGGAGGCTGAAAGTGCAGCAACACAGCTGTTGCACTATTTGAGAGCGAGATGGTGAAGGCAGTGTCAGTGGAAAGGAGGGGACTCATCCGAGAGCTGTTATGAGGTGGATTCTGTAGGACATGGTAACTGATTGGATGTGTGGGGTGGTGAGAGATGAAAGAAAGCCTATGGTGACTGCCACGTTACTGGCTTGGTGACTTGGGGGGGGGGGTGTTGGTGCCGTTCCCTGAGATGGTGACACACCTTTGTGGGGTAGAATGATGAGTTCAGTTGTGGATAGTTTGAGTTTGAGGTGCCTGTGGGATTCCTGGAGGGAGAGGGCCAGCAAGAAGACCGTGACAGGCAGAGCAGCTGAACCAGGTCTGGAATCTTGGCCTCCTGGGTCCCAAAGCAGGGGTCCTTTGTTGTCTCCTGACTTGTTCAAGTGACTTCGTGGAATACATGGCCGTGGCCACCAGATACTGCTGCTCCCTGCTCATGTCTGTCCACACATTGGGACTAGACCCCGGACTGTCCACAACTGCCTGGGGCACGCCCAGCAGCACAGGATCCAATCCCCAGATGTGACATTGTGAGAGCTTCTGAGGGACAGTTCAGTTCAGTAACCCTCTATCGGGAAAGCTCTGTGGGATCTGCAGAGACAAGCCAGACCTGGTTGAATCCCGCCATCCAGCAGCCCACGTGGTGGTGAAATACCATGGATGCAAAGCAGAATGGGATAGGTACCGAGTGAAAGATACCAACAAAGTGCTGTGGGACGTAAAGCAAAGAGAGACTATTCAAAGTGCACCAGGAAAGGCTGTGTGAGAGAGCTGGTGTCTAAGGTGGCTTGGAAAAATAGTCCCAGGTCTCGCCAGAGATCAGCATGAGCGATACACCAAGGTGTAGGCAGTGCAGACACTGTAGCGAGGGGGTCACCGTGTGAAGGGGGTTAGTGGAACATCGGGCTGGAGAAGTGGGGGGCTGGGTTCTGGAGGGCTTGAACTCAACTGAAGAGTTAGGGCTTCATTCTGTGGTTAAGGGGAGCCATCGTAGGTTCTTGAGTGAGGCATCAGCCAGGGTCTGGCTAAAGTAGCAGGACAAGCGTGAGTGATATAAGGGGTCTGTTGTAGAGAACAGAGCTGTTGATTGTGGGAGCAGTTGGAGAAGCCTGTGCAAAGCTGGGCCTCTGCACCTGGTGTCGGGCCTGAAGCTGCTCTCGGGGGGGGCGTGAAGGGGGAGGTGAGGACAGACCGGGGCCCGTGTCTGGGCCTCGCTGCCTTCAGGCTCAGTGACACTGGTGACCTGCAGGAGGAGCTGGCACTCTCTGGCGTGGCGCTGCACTTGGCACGGGCCATCTGAGCAGCTGCAGGCGGCGTGGCAGGAGCTGCAGCAGCTGCGCTGACAGCAAGGTGAGCCCCAGGCCGGTGACAGCAAGTGAGGGGCTCCCAGCACGACGGTGCTGCTTCGCTTTCGCCTCCCATCTCACGCGGATTCCTCTCGTGGTCCACCCGATCCCAGAACCTTACAGGGAAGGAAACTCTGGGAGGTCCGGTTCCACCCTAGTTAGCTCTACCCAGCCCAAAGCCACCACAAGAGAGCTAACCGGCACTCTCCTGGGATGATGAACCTGGCAGCAGCCGGTGAAGGACAGTTGGTCCGAGAAAAGGAAGCTCTAGAAATCTCCAGTAGCCCCTGGGTTGACTGTAGGGTGGGTGGTTGTCACTAGGCTCTTCACAAATTCTTCAGTCCTCCCCCTCCTTCCAGATGCATGGTAGGTGGGTGTCCCCTCCCCCTCGGTGTCAGCCCTGGTGTGTGCCTTGCCTTGGCCAGTGAGGTGGAAGTGGAAGTAACAGGTCACTTCTGAGTGGAAGCTTTAAGAATCAGTGCAGGCTTTGTCATTTTCTCTTTGCCTTTTGCCACTTGGACCAGCAATGTGCCAGATGGTAGCTGCTTTATCATCCTGAGTCCCACAGGAATGAAGGCGATGGTGCAGAGCAGATCCCCCAGCCAACCTCTGATGGACCTACAGCGTAAGTGAGAAAAAACCTTTGTGGTTTTAAGCCACTGAAATTTTGAAGTCATGGCCACAGTGTACCCTAGCCTGTCCTGCCTGATAGAGTTAGAGAGCAACAGGAAAAACGGGACATTTCCCTGGAGAGCAGGTCTCCCCTCAGCAGAGCTATGGCGGCAGCTTTCACCTCTGTGTTCCTCAGGCTGTAGATGATGGGGTTCAGCGAAGGTGTCACAACCCCATAGAAGAATGTGATAATCTTAGCCAAGTTGGGGTCCTTGGCTTTGGGCTTGAAGTACATGAAGGAGATGGTCCCATAGAAAACCACCACCACTGTGAGGTGGGCAGAGCAGGTGGAGAAGGCTTTGTGCCAGCCGGCAGCAGAGGGCACCCTCAGGATGGCAGCAAGGATGAAAACGTAGGACAGGCAGATGAGCAGCAACGGGGCCAGCGTCACGACAGTAGTGGCCACCATTGTTAGCAGCGCGTTTAGAGAGATGTCCCCACAGGCTAGTTTCAGTACTGCCAGGATCTCACAGAAGTGGTTGATGACCTTGTGGCCACAGAAGGGGAGGCTCCAGGTGAGAGTGGATTGCAGCAGGGAGTTGGCAAAGCCTGTCCCCCAGCTCAGTGCCGCCATCCACACTCACGTCTGCCTGCTCATGAGCTCTGAGTACTGAAGCGGCTGGCAGATGGCCACGTGACGGTCACACGCCATCACGGCCAGGATCGGGCACTCCGTGGAGCCCAGTGCCAGGGTCGGGAACATCTGCAGGGTGCAGCCAGGGAAGGAGATGGTGCTTTGGGTTTCCAGGAAATTGGCCAGCATGAGAGGCACAAAGGAGGATGTGCCACAGATACCCATGAGGGAGAGGTTGCTGAGGACGAAGTACATGGGGCTGTGCAGGCGGGGCTCCAGCATGTTCAGCCCGATGAGGAGGGCGTTCCCCAGCGCTGTCACGGAGTAGATGCCCAGGCAGAGTACAAACAGCACCATCTCTACGTTGTGGTGCTCGTGTAGCCCCAGCAGGACATACTCTGTCACGGCCATCTGGTTGGCCCCATCCATCTCATTCTCCCTCCTTTCCCATCTGGACCACACGGGTGTTGGAAAAAGCACCAGCTGACCTGGGAACCAAGCAACCTGGATGTGTGTGACCTGGGGCGGGTCAGCGCTG